ATATTAGCAACATAAACATCCCCCAAGACCTCCCATCCCTACTGATCCCTACCTAGATTTGGTGATGATTTACTCCATCTCTTGGGGATGACTTTCTGGACAGTCATCACATGGTCAAGTTCGAATCCTCCAGTCCAGCATCTCATGAAGGATGTACTGCAGATCAAGGTGTAGTGCCGGGCGGCATGTAGCATGTGTAGAGGATGCAAATAATTGGGTACGGTCAGAATCGAAAATTCACATGGGTTATGTTTCCAGGATGGTATATATAGATGATGTTTCCTCATATGTTCCAGCTTCGCAACTTTTCTACTTGTTTGGGGCTTGCTATAGTAGATTGGGCAATTGAATAAGTATCTCTGATAAATCTGATCACCTTAGATTTAGTAGATGGTAAGACTCTAGTTTGATAGTGAAAGTAGCAGCTGAATAGGGTCAAACCCCCCGAAAAAAATGGAATGAACATCCACCGCTATCAGAAACGTCGTGCCAGCAACACATCACTGAAAAACTTTGCCCGCTGGGCTACTTTACCAAGAGTAAAGTCCCATCAGGTTTCAAATTGAAGTCCTGGACCATGAAAAACCCCGCAAAAGTGGAATGATCCATTGATTTTTGCATTGGATATCCAATCCATAACAAAGATCTTGGTGATCGTTGCTATAGCGAAGTGCTGGGCTAAAAAAACTCTGAGGGCATGAAGCAAAGTATATGTACATCATTGTACATCTATAGCAAAAGAATGCAAAAGTCACCACTCGGTACAAGGCCAGTCATCCCTGACCCACTGCAGCACTTCTTCGTAGATCTGCTTCAAATCACATCCCGTTGGTGAACTGCGATGGAAAGCGCTGGAACGTGACGTGGGTTCGCTGGGTTGCTCCATTGCCTGAATTTCCATGTTTGTGCCCTCCAAGCCAGCTGGATACCCAAGTACCAACCATTTACATTTTATATATATATATATGTATACTGGTTGGTGGTATACCTACCCCTCTGAAAAATATTCGTCAGTTGGGATGATGAAATTCCCAATATATGGAAAATATCATTCATGTTCTAAACCACCAACCAGTATATATATATCCCCACGTTATTTTTTGTGGCTAAAACCCATATGTTTACTGCATCTATCGTCCAAGTATCGTGAAAAATCCACCATCCGATCCTCCTGAGGAAGCGGCTGCGCCCCCGGTCACCAGCCCTGTAGCACCACCAACTGCAATGCCTTAAAAGTGCTGAGAGGTAGCCATCTGACTGAATTATCTATAGATATGTGTATAATATGTCAATAGATGTATGTATATATATATACAGATCTATATATGTGAAAACTTCTGAATTATCTATAGATCTGTATAATAATAACATTTCAAAATGTATAATAATGTAAGGATAATGATAATAACAATGATAATATCTAAAATGTATTGTAAAATAATGTAATGATAATAATGCTACATTGGTATGGATTTATCTATATAATGGTATAATGGACCATATCTTTCAGTGCTTGTATCCCATACATGACTAGGTGAACTAAGAAGGTTGAATCAATGTCATGAGTCACCTACTACAATGTGGGGCTCCCGTTTACGATAGCTAAGGAAAACCATAGGAAAATGGTGACTAAACCAAGAAAATAAGGGATTTAATGAGATTTATGATGATTTATGTATATCTGTCTTTTGATAGCTAAGTTGGTGCAAATATCTTCAATAACTAAGGTTTATGATACTTACTACTAGTATCCATGGGGTTTATAAACCAACTTGTAACTGGGGGGGCTTATTGTACAATGGTATGGAATTATCTAATGGGATAATTATCCAAGTGATTTTAATGGGATTTCTACAATGGGGGTTTTATGGGTAATGGGAGAAGTTTCCATAGTAAGATCTGTGTATATATATATAATTATATATATATGGTATACAATCATCCTGAAGTATGTAGAAAATGGATTTTTCAAAATTATTACCGTTTTAGTGAGTTGTGTTTCTATATTCTACCTTTAATATAGACACACAAGGTTCAAATAAAATAGGATATGACAATCTAAGAAAGATAGTTACAATAACAAATATGAACATTGTTGCATAATACAATAATAATAATCACCATCATCATAATCATAATCAACGAAAAAAAAAACACATACTAATTTGCATATCTATATACATATAATATACACAGACACAAACACATGCTGGTTGGTGGTTTCAACTTCCCTGAAAAATATGAAGTCAATGAGAAGGATTATCCCATATATGAAATGGAAAATACAAGTCATATTTGAAACCACCAACCAGCATATAACCATTAATATTCCCATCATATTCCGATGATATTCCCATACCATTAACCATTTATAACCATTTATAACCACTATTAACCATTAAGAACCACTAATAATCTTTGTATTAAGGGCTAATTATCACAGCTAAATCAAAGGCTTACCTTCGATCACCACAAAATACCGAGGTTTCAGGGGTATCCTACAGGTTTTTAATGGTAGATCGTAATGACTGTTCTATACTGTTCTATCTTTCTAGGGGTCATAGTACTGTACTGGATTATATATATATATTATCTATAAATATTATCTATCTATCTATCTATCTATATATATATACATATGTAGGAGTATCATGTGAAGTATGTCGCGAGCAACTTCAATGTCGTGGTAAAAATAGAAACAAACAGTTGTCAAAGCTGACATCTAAAAAGGCCTCTGGACTGCACACTCACACCGTTCCAAAAACATCTCGAGCCAACAGAAATCCCCTCGGGTAATGACTAACAGTTTGCGAACTGGAAAATGGCCCAGTCGAAATAGTGGATTTAATGGATTTACCCATTGATAGCATGGTGATTTTCCAGAGTTTTTTGTTAACGTTTACCAGAGGCTAACATCCATCAACTTCCTTTCATCCCTCAGCCCGAACCCGCTGGCCCCATGCCGCGATGCCGATGGGAATGGAGAGGCCCAAAGTGAAAACCGCGGGCACTAAACCGACCAATGCTCCCACCGTGCCGCCCCCCAGGGCCTTGGTCGTCGCCAAAAAAAAAGAGGTGACCTTTTAGGGTGCTTTAAAGATGTGGCTAACATGTTTTAACCATCAAAGTTAGGCTGATTTGACTCGCAAAATCATGGAGATGAAGGGAGATACATGATGATATAATGGAGATATTATGGAGATATGTTAAATGGAATGTAACTTACTTGATCCTGTTTGGGTGCAGTTGGTCTGAAAAATGAGGGATTGACTAGAAAATTGTAAGGTGTGGTGTGATTCATTTATTGAACCACTAGTTGAACTCAAGGTTCTCAAAATCCCAGTGTGTGTTCTCCTCGGGACAATGCCAATCATCGGCTGGTCACCTTGTCCATCAGGTTCATTTTCGTGGCGGCCACCATGTCCATCACGTTCGTTTTCGTCGCGGTTTTCCATCGGCTCTGGGGGGGTACCATGTGTTCAAGTGTGTGTGAAAAAAATACAGAAGAAAGGGATGATGATGAACCACTTGTCTGTGTTTTTATGCGGGTGAATTTATGATTTATGATAATCAATTCACACACGCGAAACCAGCCCATTTGCTTGAAAAACATGAAATCATTTTTTGATACTGTGAGTGGAAGAAATCCTGCACCAGTTGGTAAATGGTAAAAGTCCAATTATAATCCCAATATTTACAGTGTTTCATTACTGGTTGGTGGTATACCTACCCCTCTGAAAAATATGACTTCGTCAGTTGGGATGATGACATTCTCAATAGTAATGGACACAATAATCCATTCATGTTCCAAACCACCAACCCGCCATTAATATTCCATTACCATAGAGTTAATCACCATAAAAATAACCATTCATATCCCTATTAAATCACCATATATCATATAATATCATATAATCATAAAATAAAAAATAATTGGAAGATCATTCCACTTAGTAACTGGTTATATTTGGCCTTGTTGTTATAGTAAGTCCGGTGACAGTCTTTCATTATGTTGCCTAATACTTACCGGTGCCGTATGTTGCTTCGTTCTCACACCGACTGGTGACACCTTGGTCCGACACGTTGGTCGCAAGGTCCAAAACGATTTCGACTGGGCCGTCTGACTTCCAGTTCGCAAACTGTTAGTCATTACCAGAGGGTAGCCTTGAAATATCTGGACAATTCATGACAATTCCGAAGATCTTTCGATTTTCCATAGATTTCACTTGAAATCATCAGTTCTCAACTCATTTTCGGAGTCAAAAAAAGGTCAAGGGGAACCCAGAGCCCCACGACTGAATCGCTTGCAGAATCGAGCCTTTGCAAGAGATACAACCGGACCTTTATGATTTTTTTTCAAGGGTTCAAACATGTTCAAAAGCAGTAATTCCATGGGAATTCCCAGTTCTGAGGTGTTTGATGTTTGAATTCGGAAAAAAAAAAGGATTTCATGGTGAAATCCTGCCAATAAATACTCATTATATCCCAACATTTCGTGGTTCACATGGCAATTCTTTCTCATCCAATTTTGCAAAACCCTCCATTCCGATCCCGACATGTCCCAAATTTTAGTTTGATTCCCCCTGACAGCTACAAACATCCCAATTTTCTGTGGTTAAAAACCACGATTTTACCACGATTTTCCTGGTGAAATCACAAATCATCAGGATTTTCGCTGGTGAATCCCGAATTCTTGGGGTGAAATCACCATGTTTGCCTCTTCAAATCTCTTAAAATCCTCATGATTGATGGCAAAATCATATCCCATAGGATCCATGGTGCTGCTATATATGGTAACATGGATCCCATCAATATACCCCCTTTATGTTAGCATATATACCAGCACCATGGATCCTATGGGTATGAAATTCTAAGCTGTTCAAAATTAATAGATGATTTTCCTAGCTATATATATATAAACCTCCATTTATAGTGGATTTACCATTGCCAATTATCTGAAATTGAGATGGTTTATTGGGATTATAATTTGGATTCAACACCTATGGGTATGTTTTGGCTGCTGAAATCTGCTGAAAAAAACCGAGCTGCGCCCGCCGCCGCGCCAGCTGTGCCCAGGGCAATGGAGCCAGCACCGGCGCCCAGCGCTGAGACCTGCGGATTCAGCAGCGAAAGAATACCCGGCCTGGTAAACTAACAGTTTGCTATTGAAAATGGTGATTTATAGTGGATGTTCCAATAAAAACATGGGATTTTCCAATAAAAAAATGGTGATTTTCCATAGTTATCAGTTGTCCATGGTGATAATAACTGGTTGGTGGTTGACCTACCCCTCTGACAAATATGGACAACGGATATTGGCGGGACAATGTGATGGCAAATTTTGGTGATTTTAGGGTGCCACATAAGATAATGATAATAAGATATAATGGTATTACTATCCCAGTACCTGCCTGAATTTCGATGTTTGTGCCCTCCAAGCTAGCTGGATACCCAAGTATCAACCATTTACATTATATATATATACTGGTTGGTGGTATACCTACCCCTCTGAAAAATATTAGCCAGTTGGGATGATGAAATTCCCAATATATGAGAAAATAAACATGTTCCAAACCACCAACCAGATAAGATATAATGGTATTACTATCCCATTACCATTACCATTATAGTATATTATAGTTACCATAAGATATAATGATATTACTCATGGTAATGATAATAGTAGCTATAGTTACAACTATCTATAATGATAATAATGATAGCAATGATAATGATAGTGATTGTAGTTCAAAGACAGGTATGAAAGTAATAATAGTAATAGCATTATGATCATGATAATAATAGATAATAGTAACTAGAGTTGCTGATATCAATGAGTCTTTTTTTCACACAGCTCCATCTATGATAATGATATGAACTGTCTACCTGGGTTTATCAAAGTCATGAGTCCCCTACTACAGATTTAGCAGTTCTCATTGGGTCACCATGAGAGAGATGGTTTGATTTTACACTATTTTGTGTGTGTGACCACTGGCATTGCTGATAGGGGTTTAGTCTGCAAACATGCTGGGGAAATGAATATGTTTAGAATGATGTTTAAATTATTGTGTGTTTAAAATTAATGGACCAACATTAACCAACCTAGTTGCAATTTCAGTTCCAGTATGGTAAAAACAATCATAAACCGGATAGAAAGTAATTCACAGATCTAGCTATAGTAGCTATAGTTGTTGATATCACTATCGCTATTGGGAAAAAACGTATTCCATACTGGTTTATACCTGCAACAACTATAGTTATATCTACCACTATGGTTAATGGGGTTTATAGACCAGCTTAGCTAACTATGGGGCGCCATGTACGGATATTAGCCTGTCAGAAGTGAGATTTACCATCTGGTTATTTTTCATAGCCATGGAAAATCACCATTTTTAATAGGTAAACCATCTATAAATGGGCCATTTCCCATGGCTATGTTAAATAACCAGAGGGTAAGTCGCTAAAAATGTGGCATTGGCCATGAAAAATGGTGATTTCACCAACAACGTTGAGGATTTCCGAAGAAACACGGTGTGTGTTTTCCCCAGCAAATCTTGGAGTTGACCCAACAAAAAAAACGGCAATTGGCACCAGCAAAGATTATTTTTGTTGGATCTTACATGATCCAACCAGCTGTTACTATTATCATTTTATGATATTACCATAATGAAAATAATAGTAAAAGTAGCTAAAGGATCTAAAGGGTTACAGCTATAATGGTAATGACATTACTATAATGATAATAATGATTTATTGTACAGAGTCGTCTGAGGAATTGACGATAAATTTCATGAAGCATTCGTATACAAACATGGGATGTATAGTTCATTCGTAACCAAATGTACATATACATATTGCATGCATATGTATTATTCAACCATCTGAACTGAGGGGGTCATCCAAGAAAAAGGGGTAGAACAAACTTGAAACAATTTGGTTCATAAGCATGCAGAGCTGCCCAAGGTATAACTTAGCAAAACCCTTCATTATATATGCTATCCACACAAGCACCTTGATTCATCGGATGCAGACTGAGCTTGAAAGTCATCAATAACATAGTGTACCCTCTGGTATACGTTTACAGTTTGCTTTTGAAAATGGCCCTAATCGAAATAGTTGATTTACCCATTTTCATAGCATGGTGATTGTCCATAGTTTTTTGTAAACGTTTACATACCAGAGGGTACCTGGTACTGTAAATATGTTCAAACCCAAAAGGATTGATGCGACATGATGTTAGGATTCTTTTCTAACACACATGTTTCGCATTTTTCGCCGTCAACCGGTGATTTCGAAAACAACAAAAAATGATGTGGAATCGATTCCTGAAACAAATCTAGTTATCATCAACATCTATTCCAATAATCCAATCATTCCAGAACTACTGTAGAACTAAACAAGAATTCCAGATGAATTTTTATGGCTGAAACAATGCCCTTTTTACCGCGCCATTTTTCCTGGGAATGGTTTGAATCCAACCATCTCTCTAGCGTCGCGGCTGTCGCTTGTCGCGCAGCAGCGCACCTGCACTTGTCGATTGGCCGCCGCACTCTTCATGAATTCCGTGGATTTCAGCGCCTCCGGCGCTGTCGGAAAGTGCCATGGCCATGATTTCATGCCTTCAAAACCACCGAAATCAACAGATGGAGTAAACAGGAATCTATGTTCCATAGAATATTAATGGAAATATAAACATAAGTACCATATTTGGAATCTATTCATTGTGCTCAATGAATATGAAAAAAAACGTCTAGGTCCCAACGAACCAAAATTGATATGATCAATTGTGAACAGTTTCGGCGTCCCGGCGTCCCAAAAATTGTTCTTGGTTCGCCTCTGGTAATCGCTGGGAAATCCCATACATTAACACTATGGAGGTTTACAGCTGGGAAACTCATCTATAAATCCAGGGGGCCAGGGGCAGCTGCCACGTCCAGTTGGAACGTTGGATCTATATATATTGCGCGAAGACAAAGAAATGAAGGGACAACACCATCGTGTAATTCCTAGGTTCTATTTCAACTACTGTATTCAACTATTCCAACTTTTGGATGAATCATTCCTATGTTTTCCGACTTAATCGGATGGTCTCAATCCTTCTGGAGATAGCAGAACTAGCTTTGCTGGCATGAAAATGGGCAAGCGGCTTAAAGCATCAAGGATCGCATGTGCCAGGAGGACTATTTTGCTGTGTCTATATGTTGGGCTGTTACACTGAAAAGTACTGGGATATACCCTCTGGATCCCTCTGGTAAGCATACAAGAAACTATGGAACATCACCATGCTATTAATGGGTAAATCCACTATAAATGGCCATTTTCAATAGCTATGCTTGCAGTCTCCAACATGATTTGAGAACATGCTCAAGGATGCTTGGCTCCCAGTTGCCGATTCATCATGAAGCCTAATGTCAACCCCGTATAACAATTGGGATTGCCTTAACGACAATATAATTCGCTATTAATGAGGTATCGCCGCCAATTGACAAACTGATGGTTCATTAATTTGTGTTGCTAGACTTGCTCCTGATTACCTATACCAAAGGACTTCACTATACCAAGTATACCGTTACAAACTTGGTTATACGGTTATACCTTTATACATAGGATTAACTTAACAAATCTCAACAAACTATGTTTCATTCATTAATGTGGGCAAAACAATGCCATAAACCACCAAAATGACTGCGAATGGTTTAAATCCAACCATTAAAAATGGTGATGACTGCAGGATGGTGCCCCCCAGTTATAAGTTGGTTTATAAACCCCATTAAGTATAGTTATATCTGCCATAAACCATAGTTATGGGAGTTATAAACCAACTTAGCTATCTTGGGGGCCTCACATTGTATAAAAATGGTGATGGTTTATGACATTGTTTTACCCACATTGATCCTTCCAGGTCCTGCAGGTAGAGTCCCTCCCCCGCAGCTCAGCTCTGGATTTTTTCTTCTCCCTCCGCATCGCCCAAGCAAACAGACCATCGGCTCTCGTAGTTGTAGAAGGTGCCTCGGTTTCGGCAAAAAAAAAAACAATGAACAAATGCCAATGATCTGGGTAAATTATAATATTTGACAAACCTGAATTAAAGCCATTTGGGGATGATTTCCCTTATTAACCATGATTCCAGTGAGGTCGCAGTGACATCGTTATAATTTACCCAGAATGATGGGATTATGATGGAATTTGAATGGAATTATAGTGGGATTACTGGGATTATGAAGTAATGAAGTACCGAACATGAGAACAACCAGGGGGATTTCAAGCGGGTTTTCAGAACCCACAGATTTCAAGGTGGTTTTATTGGATTTATCATGGGACAAATATGGACAACTGATATTAGCCAGACAATGTGATGGGAAATTTTGGGGATTTGGAGGTGCCACATGTTCAAACAAACCATGCACGAAACCAAGCCCCAAACATCACACGAAACCAATCCATTCTGGTTGGTTAATGGTGGTTAATGGTGATTAATGATGGTTAATGATGATTAATGGTGGTTAATGATGATTAATAATCTGGTTGGTGGTTTCAACCTACCCCTCTGAAAAATATGACTCAGTTGGGATGATGAAATTCTCAATGTATGGAAAGTCATAAAAATGTTCCAAACCACCAAACAGCATTTATGGAACAATGGCCAATCTCATCCAGCATTGGCAGTCGCATTTTTTTAAATGTGTAATTTGAGGTCACTGCGGTTTCATGAGGTCGTTTAGCAGCGGCCAGCAATCCTCTGAAGTCGTTTGAGATCCTCAAACGAAGAACCCGCAATGAAATATGGTTTGTTTCATTGGATTGGTTCAAGGGAAAATTTACAGGATACCCCCATATTTAATGGTAAAAACCATGGTTTTCTGTAGATTTTCCCCTAAACCAATCCAATGATTGTTGGAAAATCTGCCATTTATATATGATTTCCCCAGCTATAAACCTCCATTTATAGAGGATTCACCATTGGCATGTTTGATGACACTGGAGGTACATAGAACCACGTCATGTGACAATTCCTCATAGAAACAAACATATTCTTCTTTGTTGTCTCATCTGAGCATCTACCCTCTGGTAATAACTAACAGTTTGCTATTGAAAATTGCCATAGAAATAGAGGATCTATCCATTAAACATGATGATTTTCCATTGTTTTTTGTATGTTTACCAGAGGGTACCATGAGGAAAATTCGACGACTCAAAGTGGCTTGCTTCTGCGACCCTGTGGGATGGGGTGGTCACAACAAGCCCAGCAAAAAACGATTGGGATTGGGTGACTCGACCAACAACTCGACCAGCAGTTCTTGCTCTTGCCATCTTTTGGGAGCTCCACTCATCTGGTTGGTGGTTAAGCCCTACCCTTTGAAAAACGATGGACTTCGTCAGTTGGGATGATGAAATTCCCAATATATGGAAAATCATAATCCATTCATGTTCCAAACCACCAAGCAGTCATCATCATTAATAACCATCATTAATAGCCATCATTAATAGCCATCAGGAACCATTAATAACCATTAATAATAACCATTAATAACCAGTCTTTGTATTATCCATCACTCCCGCAACTTCAACCGGGCGACCTACGCTGATGGTCAGATCGTTTCTAGACTTCAGGATCTTCAGAGGCTCCTCGAGCGCTCTCGCGGAGATCAGATCGGAGATTTTCGTGGAAATTGGCGCACGGTTTACCCATAGGATCCATGTATGGTATATATGGTAACATTTACCATCAATATAACCCAAATGTTACCATATATACCATACATGGATCCTATGGTTTATGAAATTCTAAGCCGTTCAAAATTAATATGATTTTCCCAGCTATAAACCTCCATTTATAGTGGATTTACCATTGCTAATAAATAATGAAATTGGGATGGTTTATTGGGATTATAATTTGGGCTCAACACCTAAGTTTGGGATTCAGATCCTGTAGATTCCATGATTCTGGGTATCTTGGGTTACACCCAGCCCCTCTATTTTCCACAAAAGAACATCACAGAACCAATCATGTCCTTTTGGTCAAAATAGAGGGGCCGGTTTGGTATACCATCTATCATCATTTACCTGTTGTTAAAGTGCTAAACAAACCCATGGGAAAAGGACATCTGTCACAGAACCGGAATGTACCATATCTTTCAGTGCCTGTATCCCATACACGACTGGGTAAACTAACCATGGTTGAATCAAAGTCATGAGTCACCTACTAAGGATGGACCATTTAAAAGAAGCATTGCCTCTAGAATCCAGTTGCCAACTGGGGATTCATTGGCTAAGCGATTTATAAGCCAAGTATAACCCATGTAAATACATATATATATATATATATGTATGGGATATGCAAATAAATAAATATATATATATAAGGATATAGGATGTTCCATATACAAATGGTGCATTTCATCTGCTTCTCCCTGACTTGCTACTAACCGTGGTTCTCCGGTGGCTGCGCGCCGAATTGATTTGTTTCACTGTCGCTTGGTTTACAAGTTGGTTCATAACTCCATTATAACTATACCTATTTCATGACCAATCATACCAATCTATAAACCCGTTAAATACAGTTAACCTAGTTATAAACAAAATTTTACCTATCATAAATCAACTACAAACCCAGATTTTGCTGGTAAAACCTCCAATTTTGCAGGGAAATTCCCCCGGAAATCGTTGTCTCGCCGCCGACACCCTGCACCTCTGGAAGGTAGTTGCCCCATTGTGCTCCGTCCGTCACTATGATGAGACCTTCTTCAGAACCTGATGGCGTGGTGGTAGACACTTCTTGAGAAACAAGGTACAAGGGATATGTTTTTATTGTTTTAAAATAAGGTATGTATGTAGATGTATGTAGTGTATATACACATACATGTGTACATATAGAGATAGATATAAATAGATACATATGTTGTGGTTTGGTAAATACATATGGTATAAATATAATATCAACAATGATAATGATGATAACCAAAACAATACTATATAGGCATTATGTATTCATTATGTCATTTCTATTTGAATATTATCTCGATGTATGTATATATACACAGATATCATATTTCCAGAATCTTATGCGCCTAAGACACATGTTTTAGAAAACATACAACAGCTTCAATGCATGGATCCCTCAGAAAACCAGGTGGATAGTCTCTGGGGATTCGACGCTATGGAAAAAAATACGCCTTTTAATAGGCTTTACTCTAAAACACTGAAAGTGTAATAGGTATCTGGGTAGATGAAATAATATTTCAATGGCCATTTCAGGAACCTGAATTGGAGGTACCTACCATATATAAGGCCTATGTAAGGCCTATGTAAGGGGATATACCCCCAAAATATGGCCTTATATGGTACAGTACCTCCATTTTAGGATCCTGAAATTCCCATTGAATATTTCACTAACCTGAATCTTGCGGCCATTTGGGGATGCTTTCCAATACTAACCATGATTCCAGGGTTCGGGAGAACAGTGAGGTCGTGATAAAAAATTACCCAGATATATGTAAATGGGCCAGTGTCCATAGCTATGAATTACCAGAGGGTACCTCTGAAATTGAATTCATTGGATGGATACCGGTAATTGAACGCAACTATTAATCCCCCCAGTTACCCTCTGGTAAACTAACAGTTTGCTATTGAAAATGGCCATAGAAATAGAGAAATAGTGGATTTACCCATTAAACGCATGGTGATTTCCCATAGTTTTTTTGTATGTTTACCACGGGGGTAATTTGTTACCATATTTGCCACCAATTAATTACCCAGTTCAATACCCATTCGTCAGACCCAATATTTCCGCCACCTCACCTCTCCCCGCCCAACTCTGCCTACGAACAAAGAGAACCTCATCCACGTGCCGCCTGACATGTTGCCGTCGCAGAAGTGGGACAATTTATTCGGATTTGACTGCCACATATGAAAAACTATAGCGATGCAATTTCCGAAGATATCCCAAATCCAAGATTTACATAAGGATTGGGATACTTACACTTACGATCCAACTTACTTATCATGACGGCAAAGGATGGATTAAGTAAGTTGGATGGTAAGCAGGCCAATGGATGGATTTAGAAGGTATCACCGGGGTAGCAACGGGTAGCTGATCCTAGTTGTTCATGGTAAAATCCCACATAGTTTCCCAGTATAAAAACCATTAATATAAAATGGAAAACATATTGAACAATCATCCATATGAATCCATATTAATCCCACATATCATATAATCATTAATCAGTAATCCTTATCATCCCAGTGTTTCTTGGGTATCCTGCCTTTCATCAAACATCGCCGCGCCGCAGGGTTCCCGCGCCTTCCCCATCGCTCACCATGGCCACGTCACGTGGGATGCACATGATCTCGCGCCTGCTGGATGGCCAAGTTCCGTCTAGAGGACAAGTGGATGAAATCGTGACGAACACATTTTAAGTTATGGCCATTTATCAGTTATAAGTACTTATAACCCTATTATAGAATGTATAATCTCATTTGTAACCAGTTATAACTAATAAATTGGCCGCAACTGTAGATAATCATGTAATCTATTATCTATTAAGTACAACTATGTTATGTAATAATTATGATACATGTTGATGATTAATGATAATCATTTCAAAACTATTTGTTGATGACTGCATGATTACAATGACTGTAATTTCATGTAATCATTGATCATCAACAAATAATTGTGAGATATGCAAATTTCATGTAATCATTACACATATAGTAAATATTTATTTCAGCTTGTACAAATAATTACAATGATTACATGAAATTACAATAATGCGTGTAAATTAAATAAATGTAATGTCAATTGTTTTGTACAAAATCACAATTGTGTTCAACTTAAACAAATGCATGTCAATTACAATAATTACATGACAATTACTGTAAATGTATCAATGTTTATCATCCATCTTTGCAACTTATCCAGCACTACCAGCGAAACGCCACGTTGCCTGGTGATCTGGTGATCTGGTGATTAGTTGGGCGAAGCCTCCATCCATTTTTGTTGATAAACATAGATAAACAAATAGTTATTTCAGCTTAAACTACATCTAAATTACAGTAGATCAAATCACTGTAAATACCAATTTGATCTAATTTAGATGTACTTTAAAATAACAATGTATTACCACAATTTAGCAGTAAAACATGATAATAAATACTGGTTGGTGGTTTTAACTATCTTGAAAGATATTACTGTAGTCACTGGGAAAGATTATCCCATGACAAATAAAATTCATGTTCCAAACCACCAACCAGCTATGTAATAGATATTATCGTTATTAATTACTGTTATTACAACAATGGTATGCCAATAACTGATTGGAGCTGATATCCATGAAAAATGTGATTACAATGGTCCTGGGTAAATTATAATATTTTACAAACCTGAATCTTGCGGCCATTTGGGGATGATTTCCCTTATTAACCATGATTCCAGTAAGGGAGAACAGTGACGTCGTTATAATTTACCCAGATATATGTAAACCCACAAGAACCATCATTAATATCCATCATTAATATCCATCATTAATAACCATTCATAATCATTAATAATCATTAAACATTATTAATGATTCATGTCTGCAGCTGATTTCCCCCCAGTAACTTGACCCCGCCTAATGCTCCAGGCCTCCGCCGTCGCAGAGCCTGGAGCGCTGCGGACCCAGCGGAGGCAGGAGGCCTCAACGACGAAAGGCCGTGGAAACCGTGGTGTTTGATGGTGTTTGAACCGACAGAAAATGGTGATTTCATCGGATTGAATCATGGGATTATAACGACAATCCAATGGTGATTTTCATGGGATTTTCATATATTTTCATGGGATTAAAAAACCATCCAGAAATGATGAACTTCATGGATTTTTTTTCACCATTTCATCAAGAAAAATGAGGATTTAACCATCAAAAATATGGGAGGTTTTGATGGGATGTCATGGGATAACCCATGAAAACATGTGAACTCAGCGAATAGCTACAAAATCAGCACAAAATGGTCATGAATGAATGGGAAAAATGGCATGTTTAAGCGCAGCAATGAAAACAGGTTACTAAAAATCAGAGAAATCTGTGATTGAATCATTCTGGAACATGGTCATTTTGGCCAGCGGATTCAATTCAACCACCAAGAATTCCTGGTCAAATTCATTCTAATTCTCAAAACAAGGCCCAAAACCAAAGAAAAACACAAAATGGTATGGTTTATATTAAAACAAAGAAAAACACATCACTTATATGAATGATTTCCAATTTATCTAACCAGTTCGAAGCTCTCTGTGGGAAGGGTCAAGTCATAGGGATCCATTCATGAATCTATCCCTACCAGTTGTTCTCGCAGAAAACCTCACATGTGGCCGATATGCATCAATGAGTACTATATCGTCAAATGTTTAACTCATACAGCTTATACATAATCTGGTTGGTGGTATACCTACCCCTCCGAAAAATATGAGTTCGTCAGTTGGGATGATTATTGTTCCCAATATATAATATATGGAAAGTCACAATCCATTCATGTTCCAAACCACCAACCAATAATTAATATTCCATTGCCAGAGGGTTAATCACCATTAAATCACCATTCTGTTGGCTTTTAACCTTACCGGTGCCGGTGACATAAGCCATAATCCATAGTTTTATGTACCCAACAATTAAGCGATCACCGAATCTTTGATGGTTGACCGGTTGACCATTTTGTTTAAATCTAACCCAATCTCCAGGCCCAGTTGACCAATCTTGAATTGGGACTTACCCGGCCTGGTCAACGTTAACAAAAAACGATGGAAAAAAAAACGATGGAAACAAAAAGATGGAAAATCACCCTCTGGTAATTAATTGGTGGCAAATATGGCAACAAATTACCCTCTGGTAAACTAACGTAACTATGGAAAATCAACATGTTAATGGGTAAATCGACTACTGTATTTCGACTGGGCCATGTTCCAGTTCGCAAACTGTAAACATTTACCAGGCCGGGTAATATATGGAGGTTTCCAAAAATGGTGCTACCCCCAGTTCTCCATTTATTTTCTGGATTTCCATGAAATAAACCATCCTTTTCGCTCGCTCGCTTGGGTAGCCTCATGACTATGGAAAGCCTCATGACTTAGTTAAACAAAACATGGTCCGTAGTAGTTTGGGATGAACGGCTTATCCTTGGGGATGAACAAAACTTGGTGAATCCTAGTGATCTTGACCCAATCCCAGGGTGAGCATGGCACATCATGTCATGGCACCTTCTCAACTCCGCCATTGATCACCAGCTCCAGTCCTCACCAGTGCTGGTTTCCAATGGTTGAAACACGAAGGAAAGCAGCTGGATTTCTGAGATTCAAACTCAGAATGTAGCAACCATTACCTTCTGATAAACTAACACAACTATGGAAAATCATGGAAAATCAACATGTTTAATGTGTAAATCAACTATTTGTATGGTCATTTTCAATAGCAAACTGTTAGTCATTACCAGAGGGTACCAAAAAAAACAGCTGCAAACACATGGATTTAGAATTCAACATGACTTCATGGGGAAAAAAATGAGCAAAAACCAGCCAGCTTTGCTGGTCTGATCACCAAAGTCACCAAAGCTAGACATGTTCAATCAGCCAACAACTGGTTGGTGGTATACCTACCCCTCTGAAAAATATGAAAGTCAGTTGGGATGATGAAATTCCCAATATATGGAAAGTCATAAAATTCCATGTTCCAAACCACCAACCAGAATTCTATAAATCTCCACTGTTGCTGGTTAAATCACCATTTTCCTATGGTTTTCCTATGGTTTTACCAAACAGCAACCATAACCATAACCATATCCCCAGGGAAAATGACATGGAAGAACACGTCAAAAGTACACTTCACCTAGTCCGAAACATCAGAAACCTGGACTCCACTTCTGAACGAACATACCAAATATCTGGCTGGTGGTTGAACCACCCACTTCAAAACAACAAGTGTCAGAATCATTCAGAATCATCGTGCCAAGTAGGATGGAACATAACGTTGGAAATCACAAACCATCTTCATTGGATGCATTACAGTATTTACCCTCTGGTAAACGTTTACATAACTATGGAAAATCACAATTTTTAGTGGGTAAATCAACTATTTCTATGGTCAGTTTCAATAATTAGCTATGTTAAAGTACCAGAGGGTATCTCCATGTTTATTCAAAAGGTTTCCCCTTTCCCATCCAAAGATTCTGTTGGGTCGGATCAAAACTGAGACCATCGAAACTCACTCACCTCCTATTTTTCATGTTTACCCTCTGGTAAACTAACATAGCTATGGAAAATCACCATTTTCAATGGGCGAATCTCACTATAAATGGTCATTTTCAATAGCTATGTTAGTCATTACCAGAGGGTAAACTTGGTGAGTTAAACCCTGAAAAAAAACCGTTTCGGGTGGTAAATCCACGGTGAACTCCACAAGGTTCAATGGCAAATTTTAAGCGGAAAACCTCATGATCTTTATGGAAAAATCAATGGTTTCCGGCTGATACAGTTATGGCCATTTATTAGTTATAACTGGTTATAAATGGGATTATACATTCTATAAATGGGGTTATAAGTACTTATAACTGATAAATGGCCATGGCCATAACTGTATTGTCCCTTAAACGTAACCAATCCATTGAAATATTGTGATGTGGGTAACACCATGTCACAAAAAAAATCCCCCAGTCATCACCATTTTTGCAAGTGGTATAAACCATTCCCAGTCAGGGTGCTTTATGGTATTGTTTTTCCCACATCAATTGTTTTTATAAATCTCCATTGTTGCTGGCTAAATCACCATTTTCCTATGGTTTTCCTATGGTTTTCCTATGGTTTTCCTAGGTTTTTCCTATTATTTTATATCCATTGAAAGTTTCATCACCAAGTTTTTCACCACGGGTCCCATATCCTGAATGCGACTCAATGCCCAGCAGAAGATGCGCATCGCTGAGGGCAGTTGTCTCCACCTGGCCCGATCAAGATGCAACCAAAAGATGTGATATAATCTTACCCATAGGATCCATGTATGCTATATATATATATATGGTAACATTTACCATCAATATACCCCAAATGTTAGCATATATACCACACATGGATCCTATGGGTTAGCAAAAAAACTAAACCATTGACACCACCCATAATTTGATATAATTTGATATAATGTGATGGTGTATACCAACCATTGTTGTTACCATGACACAGCTCCAATCACAGTAACAATGAAGACGCGCACTGTTTTAGCAGTACTTGAGCCAAAAGTCGGAATGTACCAAAATGAGAATGCAAAAGTTTCCAAGGCTTGCCAACTGTGCTATATTACGATCAGAAGTCTTCAAGGATTGCTGAGAGTGCCTCTGCTACGTTTCGGTAGTACGACACCCCCGAAGCAGTCCTTTTGCCAGGAACCGAAATGCCAACCACTTTCCACGCACACTGCGGATGTGCCTTGATGAACTGGTCAATCTCCCCAAGAACCTCCGGTGAATCGTCCACGTGGTAAACCAAAGAATCAAGAGAAAACAGTTCCTGTAGCACAGCAAGTTTGCCAAGTGGTCCGTAGGTTTGCGACTGATAAAGGTTCCAGCAAGCTCTGATTGATTCGACACAGAACGCAAGACTTTTCGAACGGCATCCTCCAAGTGACAATAAGAAAGAACAACTTGCGCAATCTTGATGTTGGGCAATTGACGCACAGTCCTGAGCACGTCTTGAGTCTCTCTCGGATAAATGCCACCTGAGTCCCTCGAAACCGTCTATTCGAGTGCCTGAACGTATCCAAAACCTGATGATGATCCCAGCTAATTGCAGCCCGGGCTCGAGCAACTGAACACTGCCCCTCGTGAGCCTGCAACTGCAATCTATCAAGATCCTCTGTTGACAAGTTTCGGAATGTCACCTCGCTTGCTACCGGCGTTGGATGATCGAGCAACGATTGGGTATCTTCTTCAACAACAACAACTGTCTGAGAATCACTTGAAGTTCTTGCAGAAGTTGATGGTAAAGATTTTGGAGTTGGTTTCAAGAACTTTGGCGCGGACTTTGGCACAGATTTTGGAGTTAGTCTCAAAAACACTGGTGCCGGATCTGTCGAGGATGATGCAGCTGTCGGAGATGACGGGGCCACACGCGATCCACCCCGCAGTCTCTCTGGCAACTGCGGCACAGACAAATCCTTCCTCGCCAACGCTTCGTGTGATGAAGCCGAAAGTTCAATGCCCTTTTTATATAGTTCGAACGACCTGCCCACTTTTCACCAAACGATCCACCGCCCTCTGCAAAATCGGATCTGAACGTTGATAAGGAGTGCCTTCCTCTGATTCAGATTCCGAGATGTTGGGGGGCAATTCCAATGGATCGTTGACAGAATTTGAGTCGACCGAAACAGTTCCGGGGTCCGGTATTAGCTCAGTGGTTATGGCTATGGCGGCGTCCCTCTTCCGACCGGTCCTGGGCTCGATACCCGGGAGCAACACTGAGTTAGACAGGCGGTCAGTTAATCCCTCTCTGCAGTCCGGAAACGGAGAGCCAGGCTCAGAGTAAGCCAGGTTGCTGATCGATAACCGAAAGCTGATGTTACTCAAGATATTCTAGCTCGCAAATCAGGCAAGACAGTGAACTTGTCCTCAGGAAAGTTATTCGCCGGAGAATTCAACCAGTCCAAACGATTCTGGGCTTGATCACGTCTCACCTCCAACTGCCTTCGCCCCGGGTCTGCCAGTCCTGTGATCTGCAGCAAACCTTTCAAGAGCTCCACCAAACAATCCAAGATATGACGATGAATCGCACGAGTCCTCCTCTGAGCTTGATGACCCTTACGACCCGCACGCCTTGTATTGGTGTTTCGGCGGTGAGCAGCAAGAACTCCCTGAAGTCGAGTATGCAAACTTTCCAAATCACGCGAATGAGATCGAGAGAGAACACGAGATGGTGGATACGGCGGTTTTCTGGTGGACGCCGATGCATACAAGATCAAAGAGATTGTGAGTTTTGCGCCGCGGTAGCAGCCTTGCGCTGAAACTCTTGCGATAGCGGTGAAGCTAGTCTTGCTCTTGCTTGGACCAATGTATCACCGAATGCAATGATTCAGACCGACTGGCTACTGGGATTTTACGGATTAATCTTCAGGCTCTACACTCAGGGATGTATTCACAAACTCAAGGAGAACAACCTAGCAAAATGCCGAACTGAAGACCCACTATTGAAGTTGGTCTTTGGAATGCTGACAATTGGATTGAGGGGAGGCTCAGCAAGTAAATGCGATCACTCCACTCCCTATTATGGATTCAATCTGAACCTTGTGAAGCCAGAGCTGCAAGGTGTGCAGACAACTAGCCCCGAATTCCTAACGGTCCTGGACGACAATCGAGAATGTGTTGCTTCACTGATCTCACAAGCTTAGTGCCTTGCAAACCGATGGCGGCACGAGGGCACGTGGGATGAAGATATGAATGTGGGACCATACTTGGGCTCAACAAGCAAGTACCAGGAGATACGTATAGAGACTGATGAGGCTGTTAACCTGTTGTTACTATGACACAGCTCCAATCACAGTAACAATGAAGACGCGCACTGTTTTAGCAGTACTTGAGCCAAAAGTCGGAATGTACCAAAATGAGAATGCAGGAATGACACATGACAACCGATCAACCAAGTGGAGTATCTATACATGACAAAGGGGATCACATTGTGTGTGATTCTTCAACTACCATCTATGGTAAATTTGGGGATTGTTTATAATATGTGGCATTATGAGGATATAATGAGGATTCTTCTACTTAGTGTCTGGGGTTATAATGCAAGACATCCCAATAGCCACTTCTTGTTTTGTTTCAGCGAAAAAAAACGTGCCGAAGTGATGGGCAGGATGATATATAGGATGCTCTGTCCATGACGATTCGTCCGTAACTCCGAAGCTTGCGAACGAAACTTCCTGTGAATACAGCCCATATCATTACCACATGTATAGCCAATGTCATTAATGTCATATTTCAACATATTTCATATGTAGTGAACAAATGTGAAAAGCATCCTCCAAGACAGCATAGGGTGCAGACGTCTCAGGCGGACCTCTAGCTTCACCGGCAAAGAGAGCTTCTGCAAGGGCACCAGCACATAGTCCTTGGGCGACCAATGACCAGCACATTTACCGGTCATTTAACGTAGCTGCGAACTGCAAACATTTTAGGACACTTCCATAGATATGTCTGTGTATATATATATATATTTTTTCTCCAAATTATTCCATTTTTCTATCCCCAAGTTCAAGTGCTATGTTTCCTGGGGCACACTCCAATCTGTATCAGTCTCCAAACATTCCCCATTCCCTTTTGCCGGAGAAGTCCTATGTTTATCCTCAATTTTGTTGGCTATTCATATCAAAATGATACCAATTTCGTTGGACAATATCATCCATTTAGCTGGACGATATCCAAATATGTTGTCCTATCCTCTGTCTGTTGGACAACTTGATATTCTAGGTTATAATTCCTATTCTATTGGGTAATAATCTTTCAATTCTCCATACCAATACATTTAGGAAATAAAATTGATGTAACTCATGGTGATGAATGATTTATATTCAAGTTGCATTTGTTGTTCTTATTCTTAACAAGTACATTGAATGATTCAAAGACTTTCCGACAGTAATACTACCAGAATACAGCTCACTCACTGAATTTCCCCGTACTAACACTTTATTTTCCCCATACCAACTCTATATTGTGATGCAGAAGACTTTCCAACAACAACCACTTCCGCTCCAAGCATCAAGGTGACTAGCTCGTGAGGCCTCGTTTTGGATGAAGCCCGTTCACAAGAAGAACAGCTCGTCAAAGCAACAAAGACATGGATGTTTAATGCTGTTACATGATGTTCCGATGAAATGTTGAATTTGAAAAGCGATCAATTGGTGGAATTTAAACATCAAAGTGGAATTCAATCATTTAACAGAGAGGTTCAAAATATGGATGCGCCCAACTAAAATAAGTTGTTTATTTTCCGAGTTACCCTCTGGTAAACTAACATAGCTATTGAAAATCACAATTTTTAATGGGAAAACTCACTATAAATGGCCATGTTCAATAGCTATGTTAAATTACCAGAGGGTATTTAGCAAGAATAGGGACTTTAATTTTTAGTCGTGAGGAATTTAGCCATGGAGATAGATGGGACAGTATCAGCCAATAACCAGGACTTGACCAGCAATTGTGCTAAATATACCAATAACCATTATTGAGCCACTATTAGTTCATTGTATTTTTCCCGGGAAAAAAAGAGTTCAGAAAATCACAAAACAGGACTTGAACCAGCAACAATGTGAAATTGAGCAGCGAAAACTGGTATTCTCAATCAACCAGCCGAGGTGGGGATGGAGGCGGCTTTCGAAGTCTTACCTTGTAAAGCAAACCGCTTCAACAATGTTTTCCATTTTCATTTTTTTTCTGGAATACTTGGCCTTTCATGGATAAAAGACGTGACTCAACGCTGTTTGAACTCGTTTCTTGTATACCGAATTCATAGAGGTTGCTTAGCCTTGCGCTGGACCCCCGCCGTTCTGCATAGATTGTTCATAAGACTGCCTGTCAAACAATCTATCTACTGTCTACTCCTCTATCAACCAACTTGCCTATCTGTTACCCTAGGGTAAACTAACATATACTGGTTGGTGGTTTCAACCCCTCTGAAAAATATTAGTCAGTTGGGATGATTATTCCCATATATTATGGAAAATAAAAATGTTTGAAACCACCAATCAGATATATGTGGAACATGGCCCACTTATCGAAATTGCGATTATCCACATCTATTTTGCCCCTAGGGTACTCCACCCATCTGCAACACGACCCTCAAAACGCCTGGCATTTCAAGGTGGCGCAGTGACCAAACAAAGCCTGCAAACCCATCCTCATTTGCGAGGTGGCAGGTGCCTTCTGGGTCTGGAGTTTGAGTTCTTCACTTCAGGAAGAGTGGCGGTGATATGTTTATATATATATACATATATATATATACACATACAGATGGCTTTGCAAAGGAAACAAGTAATAGCTTGACATAGATTGTAAAAACACTCACAAAGAGCGGTCACATGGAAGAAATATATCTGGATACTTTAGATTTCATAAAATCGTACACCAGATGTCAGGCCTTTTGGGGGTGATTCTACTCGACATCATTTCCATTGCTTCTGGTCGGGTCGGCCAGTGAAGTGGCTGTGAATTAACAAGAAGGTAACACGATACGATACGCCTTTGAATGAGCAAAAAACTGATCCAAAAACAAGATCTCAGTCTTCCGGAGCAGTAGTAACTTAGTAGTGGCATTGTTTATGGCGTTGATCACACTTTTGTTATGTATTGTATAGTACCCTCTGTAGATGTTTTACCTATTAAAAATGGTGATTTTCTACAGCTATGTTAGTCATTACCAGAGGGTATGTGTTACTGCTTTGTGCCGCAGCCGCACATCCCAAAAGTATGATGATGTGCTCAAAAATTATATCCCCAATGTACCACGGGTATTGATGACCCTTTTTGCTCAACTTCCCATATAATTCCTGTTCTATCCCATTTTATATATGGTTTATAAGGGAAAATCCTATTAAAATTGATGATTTAGGGGTACCCCCATTTATGGAAACCCCCATGTATATATATATATATACATATATATATATGATCATTCCCTCTAATGTGACATACTCCCGCATAGAATTCAATTCCTGCCTGTGGACAATGGGCTATACCCGTTGCAGGATTGTTACACTGTTCTTTGCTGCCTGTGACAGCGCACCGGCAATTCCATGATCAACGCCGGCGTGCTCATGATGAAGGTCAATCAAGACCCATCGTTAGATCATCTTCCACTCCTCCCATGTCTCTGAGTCTCAATGCTTGAAGTGGTACCACCATCCCATTGCTCTGCGTGTTGCTTTCGTTGGGGCCTTGGGGCCTCTTCTGTTTTCATTTTTCTTTTGCTGCTTGTGCCAAATATTCTGGAGCTCTTGAAGAATCTTTTTCCCAGCCATCCAGCAAGCAAGGTGGACTCCGATGTCGGATCGTCCGCACAACAGTCAGTGCCACAACTAGCATCATCTCCCGGAAACCATGGAAGATTCAATGACCATGTTTGGTGGTTAAATAATGTTATTGTTTGGTCGTTAAATCATGTTACCCTCCAGTAAACTAACAGTTTGCTATGGAAAATGATCCATTTATAGATGATTTTCCTCTTGAAATGGTGATTTTCTATAGCTATGTAAACGTTTACCTAAGGTTTTTTTAAATCCCAACCAACTTGTCATTGATGATCCCATCACCACCTCACATGTAAAGCTTCAAATTTACCCTATGGTAGTTTTACCCTATGGTAAAATAGATTATTAGCATGTGGAATATTAATGGACTATCAGTTACCCTCTGGTAATTTAACATAGCTATTGAAAATCACCATGCTATTAATGGGTAAATCAACTATTTCGACTGGGTCATTTTCAATAGTTATGTTAGTTTACCACAGGGTATCACCATGTGTTTGATGGATTGAACTTATATGAACACATTAGGGGAATTGGATACTATTCCCCCAAAAAACGACGCGAAAATCACGTGGTGCTTCGTCTCACCACTTGATAAGTACCCTCTGGTAAACTAACATAGCTATGGAAAATCACCATTTTCAATGGGCAAATCCACTATAAATGGTCATTTTCAATAGCTATGTTAGTCATTACCAGGGGGTAGGCCATGTTGGCAAATTCCATGGATCATCCCATTGAAATTTTCCATATTTTTCCAGCAAGAAATGCTGGTGAGTACCCCCCCCCATTCTCCCCAGCAAAATGCTGGTGATCCCTGTTGATAGTCAAATCCCATCAAAACATTTCTAATCATAGGATGATCATATGTTGATTATCATGGGATTAAATTTCCAATTTGACTTAACTCTAATCCCAGAATAATCCTATGATTTTCCAAAATAAACCCACTTAAGACCAAGAACTGATCGTCA